AAATGGAGTGGGGCACAGATAAGCACGGCAGGTGGCCACACTATTACACAGCTTGGCAGATGCACCTCAAGGCTCGAAATAAGAGGCTTTACTTACGTTGCTGACTTCATCGTACTGCCGGACTGTTCAAGGGAGCTTATACTAGGAATGGATTTTCTGCAAGCCAATGGAGCCATGATTATTCTGCGCAGATCCAGTGTAACGTTTTCGACCGAACAAGCTAAGTCGGTGGAGAAATCGGAAAAGCGACGTCTTACTGCTCTGCGCGTTGTTGATGATGACGTCACAGTGCCACCACGCTGTAGTGTAATGGTGCTTGTTGAAAATAAGGCATTCTGTGACCACGAATGAATAGCAGATGGTAACGTAGACATCTTTTTAAACATAGGAATTTGTGTGGTCAGGGGTGTTGTTCACTTCAGGAATGGCCGCTCAGTTGTCCTCCTTACGAATTTTGGGAATGAATGTCAGCACAACGCGCATGGTATGGCTATCGCCTATTTCCACGAGTTCTGCATGGCGAATGAACTATGCAGTTTAGTGACAACGCCAACCACTCTACAAGAGACCTGCAACGTCGACACATCAGTTAACGTCAACCATAGGCTCCCAGAATATCAAAAAAAACGATTGTTCGCCCTTATAAAAAAGTTTTCGGACTGCTTTTTAACGCCCTCTAAGGTGCGATGCACGGCTATTGCAAAACACAGAATTATAACAGAAGAAGCCACGAGACCGATTTACACACACCCATATCGAGTATCGCAAAAGGAAAGACATTATCAAGAAACAAGTGGAAAGATGCTTTCAGATGACGTGATCCAGCCTTCCAGCAGTCCATGGGCGTCTCCCGTAGTGCTTGTTAAAAAGAAGATTACAGCCTGCGATTCCGCGTCGACTACCGGAAACTGAACAGCGTAACGAAACGGGATGTATACCCTCTGCCGCGTATCGATGATACACTCGATCGACTACGGAGTGCGAAATACTTCTCCTCTCTTGATCTCAAGAGCGGATATTGGCAAATTGAGGTGAATGAGCGTGACCATGAAAAGATGGCATTCATAACCCCAGGCGGCCTCTACGAATTTAAAGCGCTTCCATTCGGCCTGTGCACAGCGCCAGCTACGTTTCAGAGAATGATGGACGCTGTCCTCGCGGGACTGAAATGGCAGTCCTGCTTGGTGTACTTGGATGACGTCGTATTTTCCGCTACATTCGACCAACATCTAGAGCGACTCCGCACAGTATTAGAAGCCATTCGTTCAGCAGACTTGACCATCAAGCCAGAAAAATGCCACTTCGCTTTTGAAGAGCGTCGGTTCCTCGGACACGACGTCAGCTCCGACGGCGTTCGGCCAGATCCCGAAAAGACAGCTGCCATCTCAAAGTTCCCGACACCCAAAGACAAGAAGTCAGTACGTCGCTTCCTGGGTTTATGAGCGTACTATCGGCGATTCGTGGAAAATTTTTCGAATATTGCTGAACCACTTACTAATCTAACAAAAGACGAGGTCCTCTTTATGTGGGAAAGTGAACCACAGGAAGCATTTGATGAGTTAAGAACACGCCTGCAAGCCTCTCCAATCCTCGCCCACTTTGATGAGACTGCCGAAACTGAAGTTCCCACTGATGCGAAAACGTCGGCCTCGGAGCCATTCTAGTCCAGTGGCAAAACGGCCAATAAAAAGTGCTAGCGTATGCCAGCCACAAGCTTTCGAAAGCTGAGACAAATTACTCTACAACCAAAAAAGAGTGTCTCGCGGTCATCTGAGCCATAAGTAAATTTCGGCTGTACCTCTACGGTAGACCATTCCGAGCAGTCACTGACCACCATTGCCTGTGTTGGCTGGCGAATCTTAAGGATCCCTCTGTCCGACAAGCAAGATGGAGCCTTAGGCTACAAGAGTACGATGTTACTGTGGTATACAAATCTGGGAAAAAGCACAGCGATGCCAGTGCTTTTGCCTGTGCTTTTGGTGCGCGTGACGACTGCCTGTCACACGCACCAGTGGAGACGAGTGAGCCGGAGGAAGAAGACTTCCCGTTTCTAGGCGTCGTCCAGGCATCAGAAATCGCTCAACAACAACAAAATGACCCCGATTTGCTGCCGCTTATACAGCGTCTCCAAGGACTCAACGTTAAAGTCCCGCGCACTTTATCTATAGGGCTCCCTTCGTTCTGTCTTCGAGAAGGGGTCCTTTACAAGAGGAACTTAAAGTCTCATGGTGAAAAGTTTTTACTCGTTGTACCTGCACCTTTACGAAACGAGATTCTGCACACATGTCATGATGAGCCAACATCTGGACACATGGGTGTCAGCCGTACATTCGCCAGAATTCACCTAAAATACTACTGGCCAAAACTGTTATCATCAGTTCAGCGCTATGTGAAAACTTGCTGTGAGTGTCAAAGACGCAAAACTCCATCCGTGAAATCTGCAGGCCTCCTCCAGCCAATAGAACCACCGCATGCCCCATTCCAACAAGTCGGTCTGGATCTCCTAGGCCCGTTTCCGACATCGACTGCACGCAAGAAGTGGATAGTCGTAGCCACGAACTATCTCACTCGTTACGCTGAGACTGACTCGCTGCACACTGCAGCAGCTCTTGAAGTTGCTAAGTTCTTCATCAACAACATAGTCCTCAGACATGGTGCACCCAGTGTCGTAATTACATATCGTGGCCCAGCTTTTACTGCAGACCTAATGAAATGTCTGATGCGAATGACCCATACAGACCAGAGAAGAACTACAGCGTACCATCCTCAAACAAATGGCCTAACGGAGTGCCTGAACAGAACTTTGACTGATATGCTTTCAATGTATGTCGACGTCGAACATAAACTGTGGGATGAAATATTGCCCTACATCACGTTCGCATATACCGTATTTACTCGCATAATAGGCGCACTTTTTTTTTTCTGAAAATCCGGCTCGAAGTTAGGGGTGCGCCAATTACGCGGGGTAAAATTTTCGAAAATTTTTTCAACTCGGTTCTCGCGCTTTAAATCTGCACACTTGTCAAGTAAAAGGCGACTTTATCGTTTACCAATTAATTCAGCATAAAACAAACATACCTACGTACCTTTTAATGAACAAGCGAGAGCCATTAACTGCACACACACACGTAAAATTTATTTACACAAAAGTCATAGCTGTTCCTCCTTTTCCCTATTCGGAGTCCGAGTCGGAGATCACACATTCATCCTCGCCGAGCGGGGATTCGTTTTCGGTGTCCGAATCATCCGCACCCCACAACATGTCATCCTCACTCGCATCCAGTGCGTTCGAGATACCAGTACTGAATACTGGTTTCTCCAACGCCGAAATGCTTGCTTGCAGCCCGGTTGCCGTGCTCCAGCGCGTACTGCACTGCCTTCAGTTTAAACCCAGCCGTGTAGCTCATGTACTTCCCCATGGTGGAACCAAAGTTCAATACACGACCACAACATACGCACACCGCTTGCAAAATGGCGTTTCTTTCTTTTTCTCTGATGGTGGTGATGGCGATCAAGCCCCCGGCGTTGTACACGTGACCTCCAAAAAGCGCGGCGATTTGGAGGGTATCAGTGATTGATGGAACAGTTTTTTTTTGTTTTCTCTCATGGACGCTTTTTTTTTTTTTTCAAGTTTTATTTTGACAAACACGTCGGTTAGGTCGTTGCACTTCGAATTTCTTTTATTTGCTCGTCGATTTGCCTTCTTTTTTTCTTCAGGGTACGGGGAACCCCGTTTCAACTGTACCGCTGGGGGGTAGAATCGTTTCTGATCACAGCCAAGTTCGGGGTGCGCCTATATTATGCGCGGAATTAAAAAAAATCAAATTTTCCGCGATCAAACTATAGGTGCGCCTATTATGCGAGTGCGCCGATTATGCGAGTAAATACGGTAATACAGCCGTTCGAAAAACAACACGAGTGACACCATTTGAACTCGTATTCGGCCGAAGAGTCACCACTCCACTGGATGCCATGTTACCACTGAATGATGAAAGCAGCAATCCACCTGGCCTAGACAACTTCCTGCAAAGAGCCGAGGAAGCACGACAGATCGGCGAGATACAGAATATGCCGCTAACAACGTATCGACTCCTATCGGTACAATCAGCGTCGTACCGAAGCGCATCTTCAACCAGGTGACAAAGTATGGATAGGGACCCCAGTGCGTCGCCGTGGACTTTCTGAAAAACTTTTTAGCCGCTACTTCGAGCCTTACGAAGTACTCCATCGTGTAAGCGATGTAACTTACCAAGTCAGATCCGCCTATACACGGGAGCTCAAAACGCCGCAACCCTACAGAGGTTGTACATGTAGTCCGGATGAAGCCTTACTATGAAAGATCACCGGAAGACCAGTGACGCCTACCACAAATCTATTCATTGCCTGACGCTTCGGGACGATGCGTATAAGGAGGGGGATTATGCCGCGACATAGTGCCAGCATTCAAACAACTCGCCCATCACCACGCGCACAGGGACATACATGCGCGCCGTCTAGTGTTGCGCAGAGACGATGATGATAGCACGAGAACCCAGCTGGCGCCTGCTGATGTGCACCACGCGCTTGGGACTCTTCTTGAAGAAGCAGAAGAAGGAGACATCTTTGGTGTTCTGCTGTAACGTGCTACGACCATAGTCCCTTTGAGTTGTGGGCACAGGTTTGCCCTTTAATAAATACGTTTTAGTACACCCCGAGTCCTTCAACATCGTTACAATATTACTAAAAGAAAAGATGATTGCATTAGCAATGCATCGGTTAGTTCAAGCCATCGCGACATGTTCTTTTTGGAAAATAAACAAATGTAATTTGAACGTCATTATCACACGTGGTACGCTATCATGTTGTATATAAGCCTTTCTTTTTTTGTTTCTGAGAATTAAACTAGTTGCAAGAGCAGCGGTGTCCCCTTCGCTCATTTTGTGCCTTGCACTGCTTTTCAAGAAAACCCTGCGCCAGACCCAAGACTGGAAGCAGCGGGGAATAGTGAATCAGGCACTCACCTTGCAGCAGTGAAGGCAGCAGGGGCAGAAACTCCTGGTACAGCAGATCGTGACTGCCACCCCCAATAGAGCGGAACAGTGCCCGCAGCAGAAGGAAATAGTTGTACGGCTCCCGTGCGCTCAGCGCAAGCTCCATGGACCGGTTCACGATTCGGTGAAGGTGTGGCTGTGTAGCCACGCAGCAATAAATCATCGTTAAAGATGTCAATCTTCAGAAATCACCATGTCCAAGCATTTACAGTTAACCTATGCTTCAGAAGAAAAATGTGCTATGGCAAAAGAGTAGGCTTGTGCAAATATTCACATGCTTCAAATATTTGAATGCATATTACAGTACTTGAATTGCCTTCAACTCGAATTTAAATTGTTGAAAATTTCGAAGTAAACAAAGAGGTGTATAATAATCAGCATGAAGCCCCTTGTAAAGGTAGTTTCACTACAGTGGAGGTGTGCAAAACTGTGAAAGCACCTTGGCAGGGGAAATACCGTATTTACTCGCGTAATCTTCGCACTCGCATAATTCTCGCACCCCCCCACATCGCCCAAGAAAAATGCGATTTCTTTTTTTCCTCGAGTAATTATCGCACCCCAAAAACTGCCGCAATAATGTCGTCTGCTCGTTCCAGCCACTGATGATTATAGCGCGCGCCATCTCTTAAGCATCAAGCATACTATTACACACAGATTCAATCCAATCCAAGCCAAGCCGAAGTGGCCAGTGCGCGTTGCGGCGTGTTTTGTATGCTGTGTCGGTAATCTTGGCACGTTATGGGGTGATACTGAAGCTACACGGCTGATTCAAGTTGCAAGTGATAGATCATGCACTAAACGACGGCAACAGGGCCACCGGTAGGCCCTTCGGAGTATACGAGTTTTGTGTTTGCTACTGGTAACGGCAGCGGAAAGCCACCAAGACACGTTGGGCCTGCCGTGTGCCTAAAACTGGGATTGATGGCAAACTTTTTATTTCTTCAAAAGGAAACTGCGAACGATTCTGTTAAATAGCTATCAGCCCGATACTGACGTCCTACGTTTATCTTTTGAGGGCTTCTGTTGAGCGACGAATGCTACCGCTACGCCCGAAACGCCCACAAGCTTTGCGTATGGTATTCCGATTCTCGACTAATTGCTTGCACTTTTTGTGTCTCAAATAAATCTTGCCTTGTCTTGAATCTCTGCTTTTATTGTTGAGGTAAGTTGTAATTAGTACTTCTTAAAGCTTGCTGTAAGTTGCTGGTGTGAGAATCCCGATTTGCGGCCACTTCGTTTTCTTTTTTCTTTCTGTACGTTTTCTTTCTCGCTACCCCCAACTTTGCATCAGTTTTCCGGCAAAAAAAGTGCGAGGATTATGCGAGTAAATACGGTACGCACTGGCCTGAAGCCTTACTTGAAGGTTATGGGCGTGGCAGCCACGAGCCTGCGGATGACAGAAGGAAGAGGAGGACGACGATTGCGGGTGGGCTTGATAGCATGGGGCAGCCGCTTGCAGCGGGCAGTTGCCGCTGCAGCTTAGCGCAATAACCACGGTTTCTGGTCTGGCTCCACGTCTTCCCTGCGGGGTTCTGGGTCGAGCAGCCTCGAAACCCCCTACATTTCTGGCCCAACGGCAAGAACCCTGCCCCTGGGCCACGGACATCAAGGTATCTGTCAGATCGCGACCATGGCCCTGATGACGCCGGTGACCGTGCCCACCTTTTCCGGCCAAGACGCGAGGGAAGCGGTCATCGATTTCACTGGCGACTTTTTCGTATACTCGACCGTTCGTGGCTTCTCGGAGTCCGAAGTGCTCTGGCAGGTCCTACCAGTTGCCATGCGTGGTGCCGCGGAAGGATGGAGGCGTCTTCATTCTTCCTTACAGTCCTGGAACCAGTTTGTTACGGCATTACGGAAACAGTTCCTGCCGATCCGCTATGACTACCGTATCCAGCATAAGCTCGACGTCCAAACGTAACATCCAGATGAAGGTCTGCGCGATCATGTTCCGGCCATGCAGGAGCTCTCCCGACGGCCACACCCCACTGCTCTTGAAACCGTTAAAGTCTCACACGTTATTCGGCGATGTCACCCTCGTTTCCAGCTACACCTGTTGGGCCACTCCTTTCCTTCCCTCGAGGAGCTTGCTCACTTTGCTCAGCAAATCTCAGAGCCGTCTACTCTAACCGTACCCATCGCCACGGAGGTGAGCTCTGTGGAAGCAGGGCAGAGGTCCGTTGGTGTCGACAGGGTTCTGGGATGTTGCTGACGTTGGAGCGGATGCTGAAACAGGTGCGGTGTTGACACAACGCAAGACAGCCCTACGGAGCGAGCGAAGGCAGCGAACATGAATGCGGTCACAAAGTCCCAGGATGACGAAGCAGCATACGTGCAAGAAAGGAAGAAGACAAGGAATAAGAGGAACAAACTGAGAGTAATAGAACGCAGGGACACGACAGTAACACCAGATAAATCGGAGTCTGGCATTGAGGTGGCCCACGCTCGTGACTTTGAGAGGGACAAGGATGCCATTGAACAGCACGCAAAGGCTTCCACTGGAATGATTGCACTCATCGACCGGTACGTCGAGGAGGCCTAGAAACACTTTTCCGCTCTCGAGGAGGAGCAGAGAAAGACTGAATCACTCCAAAGCGTATTCGACTCTCTAAAGAAGGAAAGAGATGAGACTGTAGAGCTTGCAGAGAGCATCGGGAGTGCCAGCTTAAACTCGGCACTCGACCTGAGCACCGCAATTCGACGACTTGCGGAAGAGAATGCTACACTGCAAGGAGAGGCTGAGTCCACGCAAGCTGAGTACGAGAAGCTGCTCTCTGAGGAGAAGGCAAGGCTGGAATACACAGCGGAGGCCGTACGCACTGAGTACGAGTGCACGCTGCAGAATCTCAGGAAGAAGCTTCAGGAGACCGAGGCCCAGCACAAGAGGCGTGTAGAAAATGCTTGCGAGCCAGGAACAGTACCAGGAAGAAGTGAAGTTGAAAAACGAAGAGCTGCTTCCGCTGAAGCACGAAGTGAACCAGTAGTCGACCAAAGGCTCCCAAAGGCTCAAGTACAAACAGGAGTTCGAGAACATCGAGAGGAGGGTGGAGATTAGGCATGCCACAGAAATGGAGACACTGAAGTCGGAGCACAGGGCCAACATTGAGGTGCTGAGAGCCTACAACAAGAGCTGCAGGACGTCAAGGCCGGCTACGAGGAAGACCAGCGGAAGCTGCGCAGAAGCCTCGAGATCGAGCACAACTTAGTGGCTCATTCGCAGAAGGCACAATTTGGGCTGGCACCGATGGCCCTGAAGAACGCACACAAAGCGCAGATTGTGAAGATGAAGAAAGAGCACATGAGTGTCATGGAACAACTGGCCAAAAAAAGAGAGCAGCTAGAATAGCACATGGCCAAGGAGAAGATGTCTGCCATCCAGGTTATGAAAAGCAAACAGGAGGCTCATTACACAGAAATTGTAGACACCGCAAGGGTAGAATGTGCCGCAAGATTCAAGCAGCTGCAAGACTAATTGGCGAAGGTGGAACAGCAGCTGAGCTCAGTTAATGGCACGAGAAGGACCCACCAATTGAGGAGGATATGGTTGCTGCGACAACCGGTCTGTCTACGGCAGAAAAGCCTGTGATGGCTGTGTCGCACGATAGTTTAGATGGAAAGCTTCTTTCAGGAAAGGCCGAGAAAAGAACTTTTCAGGAAGTAGTTGAGTCAAAATATCACGCCATCACTTTTGTAGCAGAAAATAGAGAGGCCTTGACAAAGTGGTCGGACATTTTCGTGGAGGACACCTGTACGAGCAGTCTGAACTGATGAAGCAGCTGAGGAGTCCCAGCTGTGGACAAACTTCAGGCAGAAAAAGAAGACTTGCAGGAGGAGCTTCGGAGAACAAATGATGAGCTCAAGTCTGAAGAAATCAGGGCCACTTCACGATCACCCAGGCACACAGCACAGACTAACGCGTCTGTTGAATGTTGCTGTCTATCTCGTGAGGACGTATGTGGATACTGAGCAGGAGATCCAGTACGCTCTCTGTCAGCAGGGGCTGTCACCCATCGATTTACTGGCCTCCAACATGGCTATTGGTGAAGACTACTCTAGCCTTGGAGTATGAGCTGCCAAATCCAAGGCTCAAAGGAATATTTAGCCAATGGCTTTCTCTCTGAGCTCTGCGAGGCAGAACCTGACCTAACATCGCGTACGTGGGATAAGTTTGCCTTGGCCATCAGAAAGCAGTACACCTCGGAGATGGCGGGCCAGGATGTTGTCATTGGGACAAGTCGTCCTATGCGCACGGCTGTCGTCCGGGTGCTGCAAGTGAGCACCGGAGGCGTATACTGTCTGAGCTTCGGCAGGGATGTCCCGACCCCATCGCTGCCGAGGTCACCAGTGTTTGACTACTACCACATGGAGGAATGGCCGCCACCGATACGCGACTGGCATAGACAGCCAGAACGGAACCGACACATGGCAAGGCTTTACGACTCTTCGGGATCGGCGCTGTTTCAAGAGCATCAGCGATCTGTCATGCGCTCGCCGACGACGCTGCTCGTCAACCTGAGCGAGTCTGGTGCGCCTCCTTTTTCGAGCGGCGGCGGAGTTCGCCCCTTGGCGCGAAACCACTGTGCCGACATGTGGTCTTGTGTGGCACGTGCGGTCCGTCATGGCCAGGGCTAGCAGCTACCACATCACGTCCCCCTTTCCACTTTCCTTGACGGGGAGGGGGCAGTATGGGAGCAGCAGCCGCCAGCCTGCGAATTACAGAAGGAAGAGGAGGACGACGATCGCGGGTGCGCTCGGTGGCACACGGCAGCCACTAGCAGCGGGCAGTTGCAGCTGCGTCTTAATGTAATAAATATGGTTCCTGGTCTGGCTCCGCGTCTTCTCTTAGGAGTTCTGGGCTGAGCGGCCTCAAAACCACCTACAAGGTTAAATGAACATCATACCCTCACATAATTCGTCATTTTTAATGCTTAAAAGCTTGTTATACCAGCTTATATGCTCTAAGTATAAAAAAATTTTAGAATTAACATAATTTGCAGGTTATTGCTTGCATTGTACAGAGAGTCACATTCTGCAACTATTCTTCTGCAACTATTCAAAGTTGTTTCAACTTCCTTCGAACAAAAAAAAAAGCATTTGCACAGGCCTCGTTTAAACTTTTAAAAAGTACTGTGCCGTTAAGCTAGGTCATAAAAATATGCCAATTTTATTTTATGATACATACTATTTAAACTCGATTTGAAATTATTTGACCAATACCACAATTCACTGAGTTCACATCACTATTCACTATTCGCACAAGCCTACGAAATAGCACTTCGACTTGGGCTAGTTGGTACACACTCCGATAGGCTTCAGCATGATTTAGACAAAAACCAGCACTTGTCTGTGTTCTGTGTGTCTCCTTGGTCTTCGTTTAAATCTCATTGAAGCCTATCCTACAAAATAGCCTTCCGTGGAAGCTTAACAGATCAGACTCGAAATATTGTCAACGCCTAAAACACACCTAGTAATTCAATAGCATTAAAGAGCTCGTTTGACAGAAATTCTGGCACTGGCGTCGTTAGTTGCGAGTGAAAAATAATCTTGTGCGTGACCGAAAAATCTAAAATGTCAACATAATAAATGATAAAAAATTCTGCGTCCAATAGAGGATCGAACTTGGGTCATTTGCGTGACAAGCAGGTGTTCTACCACATAGCCACGCTTGGAAATAGAGTGAAGATAGCTTCCTCTGCTTGGAAATGCACTGAAAGTAACTTGCATGCTTTACAAACACACATCCTGTATACATGCTTGACAATGCGACGTAATAGTATTGGAGTAGTAACGCGTGGTACAAGCGTACATTGTGATCGGGCGTCAGAGCATGCAATTATCATGACTTCATGACTTAAAGCGGGTCACCCAATACAAAAGGCACACACATTCATAATTGAAAATTTTTTTTTGTTGTTGAAGCACACTGAAGACAGACGGACAGAAGAGGCTGACAAAGACAAGGTTGCATATTCAACAAAAATTTTCAATCATGAACGTTATCTGACTAGCCCAACTTGCCACCTTGCCACACACATTACTGCACCTTTGCCTTTCAGGTCATGCAATGCGTGTAATGCAAGTTCGAAAAGATTTCAAGCATACAGTTGCCAGTGGTTTGAAGCATGCTACTTATTACACAAAATGCTGCTGTATGCGAAAGCTTCGCTGACACAAGCTATGTTTAAACTCCGAACATGCTAGGGAATGAAATTTGCCATTGTGTTCAACCTTAAAGCCGAAGCTTAAGGATCCCCCAATTTTATTTTTTCGTGAAGAAACACTCCTTCCTGTTCTCTGAAACGTGGGTTGCGTTCTTAACTTCCCCATAGAAGTCGATTCTGTTACACAAGACTCGAGAAGAAACGTGAGACAAGGTGCTCTCTTTTTAAACACTAGAAATATACTGCATATTAGAAAGACACAGCATGGTCGACCGTAAATGGCCAATGGGTGAATGTCTAGCACCCACCTTGAGCATGAGCTCATTCTCAGCCGCAAAGAGGGACACTGAGCCAAAGACCAGCTTGAACAGCTTCAGATACAGGTTGGACTTGTCAGGGTTGGCTGTGATAACAATGAGAGCATTAGTCTCTCTATAAAATGCACTTTCAGTACTTTATTACTTTTAAAGAAGATTTTTTTAATAATAACAGTAATTGTTGGGGTTCCATGTCCCACAGCCTTGATATGATTATGAGGGAAGCCACAGTGGAGAGCTGTGACCACCTTTGCAGCTTTTTAAAGCCCTACACCCTAGCCTCCACACAATCTTAAGTATCAGCCATCACGAAGTAAATGAAAAATGTTCTCACATAAGATAAAATAAACCTTTATAAAAGATTTTTTAGTATAACAAACTTATGTTTGCATAAGATGCAACTTTGTTATAATGAGGTCCAAGTGAACACGAAAAAGTAATACAATAATTTATTTATTGGTGCAACAGCCAAAATAGAAATTTGAGCAATTTTCAGAGCACTAAAATGCAAAGTTGGAGCAGGCTACGCAGAAAAAAAAAACATCCATTTTTATCACAAAAAACCAAATTTGGTGCAGCACAAGATAAAGGCTTACATTTAGCAAAAAATATGCAGAAACCATTCAACACTACCTAAATTGCACAGCATGAACAATAAGCATTGTTATTTTAATAAAAGCTGTGAAAGTCCTAACACCCCCTGTAAAGTTGTTGTGGCGCACGTGCCTCGCGCAGAAGCTGCATTTCGGGTTCACAACTATCGAGCGGTAGGCGGCGCTGTGCTCGCGAGAATTTGTTGCCACCACCATAATTATCATCATAGTAAGAATGGTGGCGCTGGCAGTGACGCCTGGGGGTGCAGGAGATATGAGCGGGCCTCTGGCGGGCAGCCGTTGGTGTGAACGGTTGTCTGTAGCAGTGGGTCCCCGGTGCACGGCACCACGGGTTGTGCGCCGGGGCCCTCGTGGTAAGTCAAGCATTGACGAAGCCGCCTTGAGTGTGTTCTTGTGTTTGTTTTGTCATTTTGAGAGTGGTGTAATATTGTGTTGATCACAATTACTGTTATAATGATTCGGATGACAATATCGTCGTTCTAAACGTAGTTAAAGTTTCACATCTTGAAAACGTACATTGCACCAAGGTGAACTTTGCCACCATCAGTTTAAAAAACAGAAGAATACCATTTATTATGAGGCCAGACAACTTTGATCAAGTGGCCACACAAAGAACCGGATGCGCGGGGAAAAATTAGATTTCCGGAAGATTTTCTTATCAACCGTACAACCGGAAGAAACGTTCAAAATCCTGAAGGCTCCCGGGTATTCCGGGAGACTTGGCAGGTATGTCAACACATTGAGACCCCACAAAGTAATATTTTAATCTGAGCAAACAATCATAAATCCAACATTACAATTTTCCCCAATCATCAAATCTTTTGACAGGCTCTGTGAATTCAAATGTAGATCAACCAAACTGGCTTCCTCAAAATTCATCAAACTGAGGATGGCGACAGAAATGACTAGAAGAGCAACAATAATGTCCTACACTGCGCCAAATGATTATCAACATTTTTTTCTCAGGCGTCAGTGATCATACTACAGTCAAATCTCATTATTTCGAAAACATTTAATTCGAACTTCCAGTTATTTCTAGCTCAAGCTGTAGTCCCGTCAAAGCTATTTGTATTCCAATGGGCAAAAACGCCCTGTAATTCAAATGCGCAAGCCCTTGCGATAGGTAATTCAAACATACCGTTCTCAGAAAATGGTTTCAGCACCATGCTTAATCTTTTGGAGGCACCTTTGACACCTCCACGCTGCGCACGAAGAAGGAAAAGAAGAAACACAATAGGAAAGGCTGCGGTGGAATGTTTGCTTTCTCTCAAATGCCAATCTCCCACCCGCCTGACCCACGCTTCTCCCTTTTCTGTCCCTGCAATGTAGAGACCCTTCTCCTTTCAGGGCGGCTTCACAGTTGACCTCAGAGAGAGCGAAAGCGGCGGAACTCTCCGGAAACTGGCTCAATTCACCACCCAAGCGGCCGGAAAACCACGCTGCGCGGCCGGTGCGCATAAATCGGTCCGAGACAGGTTTTCACGCCACGCGGAACCGAATCCAGTTTCCGCTTCACGGCCTTGGCTGCGCTAGATCAAACCATGTGACCTAACCAGCCGGCCACAGATTCAACATGGCGGCAAAGGCGCCAGCGGTTGCTCGTATCGGCTGAAGTAGCAAGGCTACCAGTGCAGCCCGACGAAGCTTGACGGCCTAAACGAAGACACGTTCATCAAGAGCCTGGTTTGGATTACAATCCCCGAGGACTCTAGAATTAGATGGGGCAGCAGCAGATTCTGCATGCCCCAACGTGTCTTGCATTTGTGTACAGCCAGCTGAATCCGCGGCCGCGGCTGCCGGTGCGTTCGCTCGTGACGTTTCTGCCGACTTCTCTTCCAAAACAATGTTTGAAAAGGTTGATTGATTGATTTGTGGGGTTTAACGTCCCAAAACCACTATATGATTATGAGAGACGCCGTAGTGGAGGGCTCCGGAAATTTTGACCACCTGGGGTTCTTTAACGTGCGCCCAAATCTGAGCACACGGGCCTACAACATTTCCGCCTCCATCGGAAATGCAGCCGCCGCAGCCGGGAATCGAACCCGCGACCTGCGGGTCAGCAGCCGAGTACCTTAGCCACTAGACCACCGCGGCGGGGCAATGTTTGAAAAGGTGCGACCTATTTCTTTCCACTACTTTACGTGAATATTTAGAGTTTAGTACGAACTTTAGTTCTCAAAAAACAGGCAAAATCGAATGATTGTCAAGGTAGCGACGGCAGCAGTGGCGGGACGGTGCAGAACAAATGTGAACATCTTCGACTTGCGTGGGCGTGGTATTGCAGCCGCTCTGACGTTTTTGTTTTTTCTTCGCTTCTCAAGTGTGAACACAATCTCAACCCCACGTGCGGAAGAGAGAAGAAAAAAAAAAGAAAGCTGCCGTGGTGTGTTGGCTAGCTCCCTAATGCCCATCTGCGACGCGCCGGTGCCAAGTTTCCACCATTCCCGTCCCTGCCACATAGAGACCATTGCCCTTTCAAAGCCACACACGTAGAGAGCAAAAAAAGAAAAAAAAGAAAAGAAGCTGCCACGAATTGTTGGTTTTCTCTGAAATGCTGATCTGCCTCTCTCTGCGTTGAAACGCTCCTTCTTTCTTGTCATGAGCTGGCCACGCTAAGGCTGCAGCGCAGAGGGTGGCTACCATTATCCAGTCGTTGCCAACTCTTGAGACAGTGTTCGCGCTGGACTTTGCCGCGCCAGAGCACCGCACGCTACTTCTCTTGCCAGGTGAACGCTGAAGCCGCACTTAAAATGCTTTCCAAACTGCATGAAAAACTGATTTATTCGCTGCAAGGTAAACGTGTGCAGGCCGGCATCCCCGATTACCTCAATTAATGACGGATGTCCTGTGATCTGTGAATAAATGCAAGTTTTCTGAGGCTTCCCTCTCGTGTGTTAGCTCAATGCACATGCGCCACTGCGTGGTGAGCCCTCCATACATTTACTTTATTTCAAACTTCTTCTAATTATAACAAATTTTCTAGCCCCTTTGAGTTTTAATTATCGAGATTCGACTGTAGTACTCCGGTTATGCAACATATACACGCATGAGTCATTGAAAATGTGCAGTGTTCAGCTGCTAATGCTAACAGTCCCTTCAAAAATCATAATATGCTTTGCCACAGGGCATTAGAGTGCTTCAGCAAAAGTGGCTTAAGCAACATTCTGCACGCGTTATAGACGAGAACACGCCTATCTCGCACCCAGGCACCTTCGGCAGTATACCCTCGCTCCCAGAGATGCCATAATTTGTTTGCAACCGCCAAGACGGGCCTCTCTAGCATAGTATGCAGTGGCTCTGGGAGTTTAAAATGCGAAAAAGCGCCTGTTTACGCTGCACCCACTTATAAAATGTCATCTGGGTACCACTACGCTGTCATCTGACGCGACAACAACCAGCGTAAGAGGAAGAGATTGTTCAGCACTGCCTGTGAAATTCACAGCGCATCGCAAGAATCGTGCTGGTGCGGTGTTTCGCGATTGCACAGATTTCCGTCCACAACGAAAAATGCTCAGCTCCACTGCCTTAGGATACAATCGCAATCGACAGGAAAAACTACGAGCCCAGTAAAGTGTACGAGTAAGTATACTTAGTGCGTTTATTCAAGCGCAACTCCAGTTGTTCCACTTTACAGGTGCGATTTGCATGCAGTATGCCTGTAGTATACGGCACAAAACTATTGCCGTGCTCTTTCGCAGGCCGCATGTCAATAATTGAACATACGTATTACGACTGGCACGTGGAAGGCCGTATTACAGCCTTCTATCGTGATGCAAGAAGATGTGAACGGCGCAGAAAGTATGGCTTTCGACTCAGTCGAACTGCAGACATTCCTTGACTGTCACTAGGCAAATCTACATGTGCTTTCGGGCGGCGTAACCGTAGAATTTAAAATCTTGTTCTGGCTGGCACTTTTGCATGGTGTGTGTGTTCTGACTGCCCCGGCAGGACTGGCAAATAATACACATGTGGTGCATAAGTTGGAGCCAAATTCCAGTGCGACGTTGACACCAGCTTACAGCACAAATTCTCCCTTGTCCCAGCCAAGGCACGCCGCAGTTAATGCTTTCCGCTGTTCGTGTTTCAGTCGGATAATAGGTACCCAATAAAGCTGCTTTCGCAGTCTGCAATGCACGTGCTGCAGACAATTGAGACTGTCGAGGAGGGTCTCCTCGGCGTTTCACACAAAATCGGCACAAAATTTTAGTTGAACAGCGCGAAATGTGCTTAACAGCCGGCCTCGGGTTGTGAAGTTTCACGTTTGATTAGCAGAGAGTCGTCTGCTCGCGGGGCAGTTGAGGGTGTTTCTATGCAACGCTTGCAACAGATGGCACCATGCGCTTTTTAATACGGCAGCAAGCACTGAGCTTGCTGTGTTCTGCTAACAAAATGAAGAAATTTTCGAACACTACTTCCCCCTCACCTCTCGTTTTTTTTTCGCTATGAGGTTAGGCTTAGGGCACAACTTCTCAGCTCGCTTGCAAGACTCATTCTATCATCGTATTTCGATAGCCGGGGCGATCGAGCTAAGGCAATTTCAACAGAAAACTGTTTTACGTGCAGTTGTTATAGCGACCAACATGAGTGCCGGCAAAGCCAGCCTTTGCAGCCTGTAGACTGTTTGCGTGCAGAAAACGCAGCATGCGCTTCAAGGTCTAGTCGCTAACATGCCATAGCTACGTTCACCGACTAGGAAGTTCATATTTCCCGCGAAGGGCTGGCGGCTACAACAATGCATTTTTTCTTGGTTTCTTGAAATTACGTCGTACCGTTAGGCCTCTGCTGCGGTCAGCGAACTGATGGGCACTCGGCATGGTTACTTTATCTGGTCCATTTTCTCTCGCGAGTGCCCTGACCTAATTGGAATATATCTTACACCGTAAATTCGGGTTAGGATTCGTGCGCTTGGATTTGTGGCACAAACTACATGTAGACAATGTGGCATGGTCTCTGTTCCTTACTGAAATTAGCGCAACTGAGAAAGCTTTGAGGCTGGTCGAGTATTTTAGCGCAGAGTGGCACAATTTCAGCAAGGTTCATGGTTTTGGTGCAGCACAGCGCAACAATATGAAATTCTATCAATTGGGGCAACTGGCACAGCTGTTGCACCTCTGTATATTCCATTTGATATTCAGAGAAGGCTTTTCTGTTTTATTCGTATTTGATTCTTATTGGAGATTTACAAGCACCTGCATAATGCCAGAACCGTGCAATAAGAGTGTCTTGCAATGCAGACACTGACCTCCCATCTCTTCCATTCGTTCCAGCAGGTACTCCACCAGGATGGTGGCAAAGATGGGAGAAGTGGCACGATTCGCCAAGAAGAAGTTGGCAACAATCTGAAACAAAAAGAGAACCACCATTGCGACAGGTCTTGTGACAGCACTCCCGCAGTGACACTCTCAAATACAGATATACTATGTGCAGAGCCTCCATGCACCGAACAATACACTGAACAATTCTGTGCTGTCAGCCGCCTCTTTCACAGTCAACCCTTTGAGGGTTGAATTTTTCCAAAAATATCTTCTCCAGGTAGTCAAATCGTTCCACTAGAAATTTTCAATTCGTAAAGAGAAAAAAAATTTAAAAAAATACCAGGACCAGTATCTTTATTCAAGTCAGCACCCCTCAGAGCTGCAAAATGTTCAATAGTATTTGAAATTGTGATACAGTCGATCTCACATATATCAAACTTGTGAAATAGGTCGATATACAGAAAATTCGAAATACAAAATATGTGCATTTAGGGCCTAAATTTCACCATTTTAGACCTTGGAAATAATAACAAGCACTAACATAACAATTCACTCACAGTGTAATGAAGAACAAGATGTGAATTGCAAGTTACAACACTTTATTTTGCACGATAATAGTTCATAAACTTCTCTTGCTTCTTGCGCCCCATGTTCCAGTCATCCTCAATATCATGAAAGCTTTCAAATAAATGAATTCAGCTCCTGCGGCCATAAGAGCATTGATTGACGCAGGACACCAATGCAAGCTTTGTTGTGCGGCCAAAGGCTGGTTAGCTGTGGCAGTGAAGGCGTTAGCATATCCATAACCTCACGGGTACACTTCCGCGGCACTGGCAACCATTATATCAGCATCGATGCAGTTATGTCATCTGCATTGATGAAATCGTTCACTGTCCAAGATAGCACCCGCATACCCTGATAAGTCACAGAATTCATTGAGGCAGCGCACATCATCGTCAGTGGTCATGGCGCACCCGAAGTCGTCACCAGGCCCGCAAGGAAAGTTTACGACGGTGATTTACTTGATGTCGCTCCAAATGCAAGTCATAATTTTTATTGCTACGTGCAGGTCAATGTTTTATTCAACTCCCGAATGAAAATTCATCAAAAACAAGGCGAGAAGTACACAAGTCCACACGATGCAAAAGACAAGGATGAGTTGTCACTCAGTGCTGTTCCATATTACGCCGAAAAATTCCCATTTCGAGACAAAAATTTTTTATTCTGGGCATTTTTCCTGGTATACGTGGACGAAATTCCCATCATATTTCCCTGCTTGTTAGTTTTAACATGGGTGTAGCCCTTCATACACACAAGTAATATAAATGCATGTGTCTTGACATGTTTCCGACTACTGAAATTAAGAGTAGCGCCTGTGCTTCTACGCAATAAAAGCATGATTTTCTTAAATCATCACCTGTAAGTACATAGAAAATACAGTGGGGTTGCAAGTCCACAACATCAGTGAACTAGAAGAGACTTCACATAAATTTCAAACTAATCTCGAGGGCTACGCTTGCATGCTGCATGTACCAGAACCGTTTACAGAATATGAAGGCACACTATGACCACAATAAATCGGGCCTTATTGGTCAAGCAAACCAATTCTCAAATTCCTTGCCATATCGCAGATTTTTTTATTCCCTTTTGTCTAAAATTATGGCTGAAAATTTCCAAAGAAAAAAGAGAAAATTAACTGCACGGAACATCACTGTTCCCATCGTCAACATTTTGGCGATGTCGATGTCACTTGTAGTTTTGCAGCTGGCAGCCGCTGTTTTCAGCTGCTTTGATGCAAAAAAACTAGAAAAGCGTAGCCTCCCAGACATGTATTTTAAAACCGATAACACTAAAAATCTGTCTTTCTGAAAACACTACGCCCGCACGTTTAGACCAGCAGATCGCGCATCAAACATACCGGTGCACTTGTAAGCGCCGGGCAATGAATCCAATCAGAGTGATCGAATAGCATTGCCTTTCCGTCACCAACGCGCAAAAAGAGATCAGACCTCGTTAGAATGAGGCCAAAAATTTGCTAAGAAAAATGCACTTTCTGGGCTTCGGTGTGGCACAGCGTTCAATAAAGCAGATGTCCCACTGTGCGCGAGTTCCATACTATACGGGTGCACCAGTGCCATACTTTTGCATAAAAAATTCAAGAAAGTTTTTCAACTGTTCTATATAGCCAATAATGCGATATATTCAAGTTTGATGTATCCGGGATCGACGATATTTGCTGAAACACGGATATATGCACAGCGTTTTATACATGATACGACAAGAGCCTCGGGGTCCGCAGCGCAAATGCAGAAAAATTTAAGAATACCAGAACTTTAAAACTATGCTACAAAGAAAAGAGAGTTGAGAACAAAACAAGAGTGTTTTTGCAAAAGATGTGCAGCCAATGTTCTGTTCTTTTTACCACGTTGAGAAACTACTTTACACGATGGCACCATAGGTACTAAGCTTACAACATTATTTCATCAGCGCTTCGTATTGAAAATGTTTATTTTCATTTTTTCTTTCAACGCGATAGTATTAAAGAGCTTGTTTTGCAGAAATTCCGACGTCAGTGTCAGCGAAAGCGTTGTCGGTTGTGAATCATCATCTTGTGCGGTAGCGAAAAATGGAGAAAGATGCAAATAACAAATACATGCACCGGTTCTGAGTGAGAATCGAATACTGGCCATTTGCATGGCAAGTAGCTGTTTTACACAGCCACCTGTCTGCTTGAATATACACTTGACATAACTTCCTGTGCTTGGAAATGCCTTAAAGAAGTGCTCCGTTTTACGAACTCACGTGTTTTGCATACAAGTTTCAGAATACAATGTGTAATACAGAAAAATCTCTTAGATACGATTAGAGTTGTTGCAAATTTTGCAATGATACCAATTTCGCAGTAGACTACATTATATTAAATACGGCGTTATTCGGAGCTATATGAATGTTACCAGCCACTGCGCATAATACAAACGCGCAATTGACTGTCGCACGTGAACGGCACAACACGGCTTGTCTTTGGGAGGAAGGCCCTAATGTGACCAAAAGTGGGGAACAGGCCAAGTGTCGAGAAAGGAGGCGCCCTTGCGAGGCTCCTTGATGTCGAGAATACCGATTTATTTACATATTTACTGAACTTGACAAACCCGGCGAGCAGATGTGCCTTTACATTACATCTTTTAAAGGTGAAGCTAAATGGCCCTGTAATTTTTTTTTTTAATGTTTCCGTGGTGCAGAGTAGTATTATGGTTCTGATGGAATTTTTTTCTCTTTGCTATATTTGTCTTGATAATTTTTACAACATCTGAAATAAATCTGAACTTCACAATATTATAACTCAAATGCACAATTCTTCTTCAAAAGCAATCTGCTGTATCTACTCGCTTAAACAGCCCACCTTCTTTTTTTTTTTTTTTTTCGGGAAAGTTGACGCCAATTTGGAAGAAGGGTTCATTACACGGAAGAAAAAAAAAAAGTCACGGGAGTTATGCCAGTGAAAATTCCTGCTAACGACTTTGCTTGTTCTGGCCCAAAAAATCCACGACAATTTTTTTTTTTTGCAGCCGGAAGCTCTTTTTGTCTTCACCTGTAACGAAAGCGCACGAATCGACGCCGAAGTGTCGTCGAGTCACTCGGCTCCCGTGCTACAGCGCATGCTGTTCGTAACCCGCTGTGTAGCTAGCGTACCAGCCGAACACGCCTGCGCAACAGATGTCCCAAAAAAAGTTCACGATGACAAACCCGAGAACAAAAACGCAACGTTGGATGGCGGCACGCAAACGTTGCGGTAGACGTTGCAGGTGCCTGACACGTTATTATCATGGTTGCGCTTTGCATGGCCTCCAAGATGATGGGGGCGCGCGGCTTGTTTCTATGCCACGTGCCCACCAATTCGGAGGCCACGTGTTTTGTTTTTGTGCCGCAGTGCTTGCAAAGAGGTTTCTCCTGAAATCGACAGATGGCGCTTTGCCACAAAAAGTGCGGCTTCCAAATATTGATTAACGTCGTCTGAACTCACACTGCTCGCAACTGTTAAGCATGTTTGCTAAACTATGTTTTGACATTTATTGCATTGCTCTTTTGTGATATAACGACTTGATTTAACATTGTTTCGATTATTAACGGCACTGGCTATCATACCGAAATACTGTGAACACATACATTGAAACCAATTTTTTTTTTTCCAGGGAGCAAGGTAGGGGATGGGTTCATTATACGATTGGGTTCAATATGCGAGTAAATACGGTGTTCTGTTTTGTGGTCACGGAAGTGTTCAAGACAAAAGTGCACTTCATATTCATCACTTTTGTCAAAGAAGTTGTGAGCTTGCACCTTTCACTTTTGTCCATACGTGTGTCGTGCAGCAAGCCATGAATCAGTGCCGACTTCCCCAGTTGTCAGTAACCTACCATATACAGTCGTTCCCGAGTATATCGAACTCGGATATATCGAATTATTGGCTATATCGATCAGACAAAAAAATCTCCTTGAAAATCCTATGTAAATGTATAGGGCACGTGTGCACGTATATCGGACTGTTGTACGTCGGCGCATTCGATATATCAAGCGCTTTGTTGCACTGAAGCCATGATAAGAACCACAATTCGGCCGCGCCCCGCATCGAAAATATGTCCGCGTCCATGCACTCAAACATTGAAACGCCAAAAACATAGCCTTCAATATCTGTTTCCCTCAGCACACCATGGCTACTTCCGATCTTGAAGGCCATGCCTTTGCGAACTGTATACCTTTGGCAGTTTTTTTTCTTCATTCTATGTTTTTACCAATGTCACGGCTGCCTGCTGCGAAAGCCGAAGTGCAATCGCCATCACCAAGAGCATATTTTGACTGGTTTTCACAGATTCAGCAACTCTTTACAGTTGCCCTTGTTGCTTTGTTTGTGTGTAACTTGCTTCCATAGTGTCTTCTCGACGCTTCCACGTTTCAGACTTGTGATCATGGTGTGCGATATCTGTTGACGCTGTGGGGTCCTGGCGCCGCGAACGCGCGCACCGCCACGCCACGCTCTTGGAGTGACGGACACAGTGAACACGGTCGGAACAAAGCCCACAATATACATA